CTATGCAAATGACTCTAGAAAGATGATGTAAGGTGTATCAAAAATATAGCTGATTTTTATTCAAAGACTTATTTATAGCAATAAAAGCTCAAATATCTAAATGGGGTACAAAAAGTGTACCTCAAGGGTACAAAATTTCCTGGGGTACAAAATGACGAAATGGGGTATTGTACCCCAAAATGGGGTACAGTTGGCAGCCCTGTATAGCAGAGAAAAAAACGATTATTCATGACCGAACAATAGCAAAGAGGACACAAACATACAATGAAAGATTCAAGTCGGTAGATAAATGGTACCGACAGTATACTCGATTTCTTGCAGTACTAAAAGACAGAGTGACTATTTGAAAGAGAATAGAAAGTGTATGAGTGGTAGTATCGATGAAGAAATGACCAACACCCAACATCCTATTTAAGAAGAGAAATTTATCAGTTAGAGACAACAATTGGAACTAAAGGTGACCATGTTTTTATCACAAAGATCGTTTTAACAAAAGAAAACAAAATCTAGTTTTCGTTCAACTTCAAAGAAATAAACTTGAAAACAAGATATCGCTAGAAATCTTATGATCATGCTTTATTTCAACTTTACTAAAAAAATTTGAGGTTATTCATAGCTAGATGAGAAATAGACCAGGCAACTGCGAATATAGCCTTCGTTTCTCAATCTAGTTTGATAGTCTTAAAAAAACAAGAGAAGTGCAGAAATAAATACTAAAAAAAGGAGAATTTCAAATTAATATATTGACAAATCCTCTCTACAATACTACTAACATTCTGATTATAGTTTGTGTTTCTCTAATTAGTCAAGAAGAAAAAGAGAAACCTCAAGGTACATCTCGTTCTAATGCTCATAGACTATCATCATTATAGTCCCATATTCTTATCACAACTAATTAGCTTGATCTGATAACGTGAAGAAATCAATCTTTCACTCATATATTAAAATTTTTAATTGAATCATTTCTTTCGAGAAAATATCAATGCATTGGATATTATTAAAATACAATAAACCATCAAAATTAATTAATCATACTGTCGTATACGGAAAGGCACAAATATCTGGATGAAACTTGTTCAGTGTTCTACTTGAACAATTATCTCAGCTTGATTATTTGTAGGACATTCAAAGAGAAAAGAGTGGTCGGTGACATTCAATCTTATCTACAAAATTGATATTTTTCATGTAAGAATTTGATGTTGAATAAACTGACAGACGTCATCGAACAAAGATGCATGACTTAACAATATAATCTGTCAATCAACGATTTTCTTAAAACATCTTCTGTCTTCTTAGACTCCAAACAGAGTAGTCGAATGAAAAAAATTCCAATTAAATTCCACAGTTCATTCGAATAATCATTTTTCAGCATTCTCTCTACGTTATATATCAAAGAACAACAGTGAATCATTCATTGATGAAAAAATAGAAAGAGGAAAGTTGACGATCAAACAACAGGTCACATATGATATAGACAACATATCGTATACGAAAAAAAGTATAATAGTGAGGAATTATTATAAAATGTGTTTGTCGTTATTACAAGAAATTCATTTCTGTCAAAGTTTTTAATGTCCACAGGTAACAAAAGCTGAGAATAACTTTTCAAGACCTCAGTATATGATTTTTTTTCGGGAGCTGTAAAATATTAATCGATCGAGCTCTAAAAAGAGCTTCAAGAGAAATTTGAAAATAACCAGATATTTATACATAATAGTACATATTTATAAATGATCGACTGTCATTAATATTGTGTCTATTGTTTCATTTAAAGATTTTTTGTTTGTGCAATGAATCAGAAGAAAATCTCGTGTATGATTATTTTTGCCGTTGATCGATAGACAATGATTCTTCGCATGAAAATCAGATACAGTTTTATTTAAGTGAATCGTACTGAAACAATCCAATAGGCAGGAGGCTAGCTTTGCAATGATCCTATATTTTTTAAATTGATCCTATAATGAACTATATTTCAAGCTTTTTTCCTATATTTTTTCAAAACACTGACATTCTTGTAACAACAGTCATATACTCCTTGAAAAAAAGCCTTGTACATAGTGTCAATATGATCATCACTGTCTATAACATAGAACACGAATGGGAATAACAATATATATATATGCTCTTGTCGAAACTAAAAGACAGTCAGATTTATAATCTTTCGAGTCAACATTAGAGCCTTAATTTCGTCGAATATCATCTTATATAAAAATGAAAATTTCAATCTTGATTGTAGACAATTAAGATTTTTTCTAATGAACAAAAAAAATGATAGTAAAAAGCAATCAATTACGGCACCCGTGTTTCTTTATTTCGAAAAGAATTCAGTAGCAAATATTAGATAAGAATGCAGATGCAATAGAAGACCTCTCTTTCATTAATATCTATATCTAAAACCAAATAGCCAAACACTACAGACGAGCTGCGTCCATGTTCACATCTAGCGATACCATTTTTTTATCAAGATATTGCCTTTTTCTGCTCAACAAAAAAAATTTTAATTTTAACTGTCATATTAATATTTTAATAAAATACTTCCATGTGTGTAAAATGTTATACTAATATTGAGAAAAAATATAATTTATACTGTATAAATCAAAACAAGGCTGTCTTGCAACTTATCTATTTGATTTTGTTCATATTCATGAAGATGCCTATGCGTAAAAAAGTTTGAAATAAATCAAATCTTAATAAGTATTGTTCCTATTTCTTTAAAAATAAAAATGTGTTATACTCTTTTTCACAACTCGATCTGAACGAAGCTGTCTATAATCTTCAATAGTTTTTCAACTTTTTACAGTGTTCTACAGACTTTTAACGGTCGAAACTGGGTGTACTATATATTTTCTATATAGGGGAAGAGAATCCTATATAAATGACGCTTTTCAATTTCTATATCTTCACCAAGTAACGCTGTGAAGCCAGAAAGGAGAAGAAATTCTTCTTTATCGAATCTGCTTTTACATTGAGACTCGATCATATTGTTTTTCTCTGTTGGTATTAATGTTTTTTTCATTTTTCAGGTACTCACATGCAAGTCAGTACAAATTTTGCTGTCGATACAATCAAAGTCGAACCCGAACAATCGAATAGTAAGGAAACAATTATCAATGGAAATCTGAGAAAACGAAGATGTAAATGGGAATGAGAGCAAGAATCTTCTCTTCAGTCTCACTCTCATCACTAAGAACGATTGACCTAGGTGTACGAGTTTCAGCACTGAAAGAGAAAAAATACGAGATTTGTAGGTCATTGGATGATTGGAAAGCTCAATAAAATTGATTTAGACTGAATGTCATTTAAGGTCTTTGTGTTATTTCATTACAGTACCACTTCGTGGGACTCCCATCCACATCAATCCTGATGCTACATGGATACGTGATGATGTTACTGTAGCTGGTGGAAATCGACATGGGTATCAATCAAATCAACTCTATTGGCCACGCGGTTTGCATGTAGACGATGATCAAACTGTCTATGTTGCCGACCAAGTGAATAATCGAATTATGAAATGAAAGCTTGGTGCAACGACCGGTCAGATTATTGCTGGTGGAAACGGACATGGGGAGCGGATAGATCAGTTGAGTTTTCCAATGGATGTAATCGTCGATCAAGCAACCGACAGTCTTCTCATTTGTGACACAAGCAACCAGAGAGTAGTACGATGGACTCGTTGTGACGGTAAAAAAGGGGAAATTATCATCTCGAGTATCGATTGCTTCGGCTTAACAATGGATGATCACGGATTTATTTACGTCTCTGATTCGAGAAAACATCAATTGAAACGATATCGAATTGGTGAAATTCATGAAATAGTGGTGGCAGGTGGAAATGGAGCTGGTGATCGTCTCGATCAACTTAATTTTCCTACGTATGTATTTGTTCATAACGAATATACAGTGTACGTCTCGGACTGGAAAAACAATTGAGTCATAAAGTGGACAAAAGGTGCAACAAGAGGCATCGTCGTAGCAAGTGGTCAAATAATTGGAGATGACTGGACAGATGATTTATCACCGGAGGGTATTGTCGTCGATCGTTCGGGAACGATCTATGTAGCAGACAGCAGCAATAATCGAATAATGCGTTGGCCAAAAGGAAGTACACAAGGTAGTATTATTATCGACGAGAACAGTCAACGAGGAAATGCAAGATGGTGGTTTTATCCTGAAGATTTGACATTCGACCGACATGGTTCTCTCTATGCTGTTACTTATTTTCATGCAAGAGCACGAAAATTCGAAATCGATTCGATTACTAATTGAACATTGACTTAATCATAAGTTGTTGTTATTTTTTTTTATTGTATTGATTTATGTAGAAATAAAAAGGGTGTGGGTGTGGGTGTGGGTGTGGGTGTGGGTTTGGGTGTGGGTGAAGGTGAGGGTATGAATGCACAAGCATGGGTAAGCCAAAGGGAGAAAAATGCCCACACCCCCACCCCCACACCCACCCACACCCACCCACACCCCTATTTTGTATATATAGCAGGAACATCTAATTGCGTATCAATCTAATACTTGCTCCTTTATCTATGTGATATAATATTTGATATGGTGGTGCCTTAATAACTTAGTCAAACGTCAAA